CACAGCATTCAGTAAAGCTGACTTACCTATCCGTCACTGAACTTCACTATCACATAAATGTGCCTTAAATTGGAAAAATACAATGTTTTTCAGGGTAGCAAGCCAAGTTACAAAAACCTAAACTCCTATCTCAAATTTAGCCACATAAGGTTGATTTTTCTAAACAATATGTCCATACTCCCAAGCCTGTCTTGTCGACCTTAAGGGCCGATGAAGTGGATATCAGGAACTTCTGATTTCATGGGGAGTAATGCTATTCCCAACCTTGCTGGGTCAAGTTTATGGTAGTGCTAGTGAAAGTCAAGGTTCTTGGCCTCCGGGAGGCATCCTACAGTGTCCCGCTCTGGTCTGAACTTGCACCTCTACTGCTCTCCAGGTGAACAGGAAAAGCCCCAGGAAAGTGTTAATTTAATATCCTGTGTGGCCAGTGTTGCGTGCACACCTCAGAGCGGGCAGCACACATGGCCATGACTTCCAACACTTCCATGACTTCCAATTCTTCAAGTGCCATGAGCTTCAGTTCCCCAGAGTGTATAGAAGCACTAGCTTGGAGAGTTCAGGACATCTTGGACCTCATTGAGGCAGGAGGAAAGGAATTCAATCTATCCAAGCGCCAAACCAGCAAAAGGAACACAGACATTTACATGAAGATCGCAAACTACCTGGTGGCCAAAGGATACTTCAAGGATGCTGAGCAATGTAGAGTCAAAATAATGGAGCTGACGCAGACGTATCACAAGACAAAGGAGGCAAATGGACGGTCTGGTGCAGCACACAAATAAGCCAGTTCTGTGAGCAGCTAAATGCAATTTTAGGGAGTGACCCAACCAGCTTCCCTAGCCTGACTGTGGAGTCTGGTCAAGATAATACTAGCATCAGCGTGGAGGACAGCGAGGTGGCAGAGGGGCAGGAGGAGAATGGCCACCTGGCGACAGGCGGGAGCCCAGATCTTATCACGTTGGATCCAGGCCCCTCCTCCCTGGACGTCTCCCTGCCAAACACTGACCCCACGGAGTGCAGGCTGGGAAAGTAGCACTTTCCCCAGAAGTTGCGTGTACTGGACACAGAGGGAAGTGCTCTGCCCTGTCCCCCCACCCTCACCCCACTTGACAAGCTCTTTCAAGCTAGAAAAGTAGCACTCTCCCAGGAAGGCTCATGTGCCAGACACCACCCTGCCCCACTGGCATGACCAGACCCCATCCCCCTCTCCCGCTCGCAGGATCAGGCCCCTGACCATATCAGCCTCAGCATGAGTCCAGAGGTTCCTTTGAACTCAGCTGTGTACCCGCTGAACAGTGGCCCCTTCAAAGCAAAACTTTGGCCTTGCACAGAACACATCTCCATTGTCTTTATGGAGATCTTTGCTGTATGTTAGCAGATTAGGGTTAGATTTAACACAATGTAGCTCCTATAATGTGTGCCTTTGTAACTTCGTTACACCAGGGACAGTAGCCAGCTCCCTGTGTACTCCCCTGGCTCCACCAGCTGTCCGCCTGGCGTAGATCCACAGGAGAAAATGGTCAAGGGAAAATATGTTCAAGAAGCCAATAGACCGGCTGAATATGCTTCCGGAGGAGATGCAGGCTGAGCGTCAGGACAGAGTTGCAGAACCACAGGAGAGGACAGCGTGCAGGGAACTGCGGACCAAGCAACAGGAAAGTATCTTTGCCTCCCTGATTACAGTAATGGAGCATCTGGCTGCATGCCTGGAAACACCACCCCATTAGAACCTCGTTCACCCCCTGCAAAATAACTTTATCTCCTCCCCAGTTCCATAGCCTCCATCCCCAGGCTCTTCAGAGGTACCAGGACATTGGTGGTAGGGGAGCCTCACAGGCAGCCTTAACCTCCAAGATCTTGGAAGGCCAAAAGCTGTCGTTCATGCCTTTGAGTCCACCCCTCCCCTTCAAGTTCCCACCATTGACTTCTTTTATTTTCCTGCTATATCCTCTAAGTAAAAAAGCATGACTGATGAACAATAGTCTCTTTATTGCTTATACTTCAGGGGTAGGGTGGGAGATTATAGGCAAACACAGTGGCACCTCATTGAAAGCAACGTACATGAGTCTCAAAACTGGCCATTCATAAAACTTTCTTTCAAAGCCTCTCTGATTTTCACTGCTCCGTGCTGTGCTCATATCGCCCCGGTGTCTGGTTACTCAAAATCTCTGGCTAAGCGCTCTGCCTCAGTTCCCCACCTTGTTAGATAAATTCCCCTTTGATCTCGCAAAGATTATACAGCACACAGCAAGCTGACACTACAAAGAGAAGGTTGCATTTGCTAAGGTTCAACCTAGTCAGGAGACTCCTAAACCTTCCCTTTAAATGCCCAAAATCATATTCAACCACCATTCTCATGTTCAGCCTATAGTTGAACCCTCAATAGCAGAATGGTATTGATGGCTTTGGCTACTGGTATAATAACAGCCTCGATTGTAGATTTCCCCACTCTGAACTGATTCCCAAATGTCTGGTAGCTGGCTGGTGTTGCAAACTTTCACGGGGCAATTGCCACTAAGGATGTTAAATATCAATTAATTTACTACTTGAGTAGTCGATGGAATTTCCATTGACTAGTCAATAGGCACTTCCGCATTCCTCCTTTGAAACATACCAGAGTCCCCAGTATAAGGCTCTTGTGCATTTCAAAGTGGCAGCACGCACATGGAGCCTAGGGTCAGCTGGGGACTAAGAGTCCCCCACTGACCCCAGGCTCCATGTGGCACTGCCACTTTGAATTGCCATGTGGAGCTGGGGTCAGGGCTCCGTGTGTCATTTCTGCAGAACCTGGTGTCATCTGGGACTCCCCAGCTGATCCTGGGCTCCGCGCAATATTTCAAAATGGCAGCGCTACACAGAGCCTGGGATTAGCTGGGGACTCCTCTGCTGACTCCAGGTTCCACAGAAATGCTGCATGGAGCCCGGGGTCAGCTAGGGAGTCCCCAGCTGATGCCAGGCTCCATGCAGTGCTGCTATGTTGAAACCCCGCAGCAGCGTTTCAAAGGGGCAGCACCACACAGTTGATCCTGGGCTCTGTGCAGCGCTGTCGCTTTGAAGTACCCCGTCTCACCCTCACCCTTTGCTGGGGGGAAGCGACTAGTCGACTTGACTATCCAATAAGTATTTGCTTATCGGATAGTTGACTAGTTCTTAACATCCTTAATTGTCACACACTTCTCCAGTCAGAGCAGGTCTCATTCCAATATTCTTGCACTTCAGGGTGGGGAGAAAGCCATTCGCAAAGTTCCAAGGAAGTAGCCTTGCACATTCAGAAGTTTTGCAGCCACTCCTGATCACCTCATAGGTGCATCACAATGCAATCCTACCAGTCTCACAGTACCAGAACTGGTGTTTCACCATGTCCATAGGATTGACTGGTGGCCACATTTGCATCAGCACAAGGGCTTGCATGTACAGCAAGTCCAGGAGATCTTGAGATTCGTCCTGTTCCTGGTGGAGTGACACGCTCTCAAAATACTGCACCATTAGGCACAACAAGGCCGACGTCAACATCACAATGGTTTGACGCAAAATGAGATCCATGCTTGCGCTGCTATGGCCTCTGCATGGGTAACCAGGGCCAAAAAAGGTACTAAAAGACTTTCCCATTGATCTCAAGCAAGGGGGGAGGGCCTAGATGAGTGCATTATGGGATGAGTGCATTATACTGATGACATGAACCCATAACCATCCAGTGCACAATTATGGACCCAGCATGCATTAGGAGCATAACCCAGGATGCAAAGCGGCGTAGGCACTGTGGGATAGCTACCCACAGTGCATCGCTCTCAAAGTCAATGGCTGATTCCCTAATGGAGATGTGCTACTTCAGAGTGCAGGCAGTCCCCGGGTTACATGGATCCGACTTACATCGGATCCCTACTTACAAATGGGGTGAGGCAACCCCGCACTGCTTCCCCCCAGCAGACCAGGGAGATGCGAAGCTAGCGCCCCACCCAGCAGACCAGGGAGATGCGGAGCGGCTTTTCTCAGCAGACACCTCAGCTTGAGAATAAAGGACTGAGGGAAGTGAGGTGTGGGAGAATAAAACTGAGCTCTGGAGAAATGTTTGGCTAGAGTTTCCCCTACAATATGTACCAGTTCCGACTTACATACAAATTCAACTTAAGAACAAACCTACAGTCCCTATCTTGTACGTAACCCAGGGACTGCCTGTACAAAATGGGAGGATAGCGGAGAAACTTCATGCAGCCATGCAGAAACCTACTGAAGTAGCGGTGATAAAAGTGAAGGCCCACGCAAAAGGGACAGGCCCTCATACCAAAGGGAACCGAAGGCAGATGAACTAGATAAACAAGAAGCAATCGGGTGGCCAGACATCACCCATGATAGATTTGGCCTTATCTTGTACTATAGATGTGGCCATAGTGACAAAACAGGCAAGGAAAGCAGCCACATTTGCCTACTCGTTTTCTGATGGCAGTGCATGCTCAGCCTTGGATAGTAGCACCAGGTTAAGTGGGAACAGAAATGTAGGCCACAACACCATGCTTATCTTCATATTTTTTTGGAAAATGCCAGGCACTGAGGAATATTTAAAATGTGAATCATACCACTTTTCTTTATAAATCTTCAAGAAGGAAAAAATAACACAAACCTAATTGTATTTGCAGCTCCCCTTTAAATAAGATAAGAGTAGAAAACCTTGTATCCGAGGATCTCAAAGTGCATTTGGCATTATATTAACTAGGCATTATCCCTATTTTAGGAATGAAGAAACAAACTCATAGAGGTTAAAGTGAATTTCAAAGGTTATACAGTAAGTAGATGGCAGAGTCAGAAACAGACCTTAGATGTGCTGACCAGAGACACATTAGAAACTATTCATGTATGTAAAATTTGGCCCACGCTCAAATACTTTGTTGAATTAGGATCTTAGGTTCCAATCACTAAACCAGACGAGTTAGTTAATTCTGAGTAAATAAAAATGTTACAAATAAAGCCAATTAGTATTATAAAATGTGAATTTATTACATAATAAAATGAAAAAAATTATTTTCACAGAAGCATGTGCCCAGAGACTATAAAGATTTCTGCCTTCAGTTCAACATGTTAGATAAATATCACATGCTGACTATTCATTAGACCCCGTCAAATTTTTTATATGTCCACACACATTTTCCCATACAAGCACTGAGCTTGGTTTCTATTACTGGAGGGATCATAACACTTTTTATTTCAGTGCATTCAGACAATTTACAGGTATGTATGAAAATATTAATGAATCATGAATCATCCAAAAATTAAAACCTAAAAGTCCAATCTTTATTTTTACATGTTAAAAATTTCAGCCAAGACCATGTAAAGTATGTGACAAACTTCACACCTTGAATATAACAAATAATGAATAGCTGAAACAAATCATTCAAAATCATGAAATGATTTAAACTTATTTGTCCAAACAAATGTGGGTTTGATTAATTACAAATTTAACTGATAACAAAAAGATAAACCAGTTCTGTTCAGACACTGAAATGTTCTGATTTCCAGAATATACTCTATCCTTGAATGTTATGTTTATAGATTCAGTACCCGCTTTTAAGTCAGTAGTATAAAAGCAGAGAGTAGTCAGTCCACATCTTCAAGTACAGGCTTCCTTCTTTCATTACTTTCTAGATTGGAAACCTGAAAATAAACAACGTACAGGAATAAAAACAAACAAGAGTTGGTGTAGTGAACAATGAACAAAGGAACAACAAGCCAGAGGCCAGATTCTCAGCTATGCCCAGTCCCTGATTCTTGGGGATGGTTCTACGTCAGCCCATTCTCCAATCACCTCACAACTGCTCAAGGCCTGAAGGGCCATTTTGGCAGTCAAGTAGCAGAACAGTGCAGAAGAGCTCTGGCCATATATTCTTCTTCCCAAGCCAGGAGCCACAGAAGATGACATCAGAGGTGCATCACATCGGAATTTTCTCTCATTGGTAGATATACCAAGTAGGCATGTTAGATATTGGGTAACTGAATAGTTGTGTAACCACATGAATTCTTACACCATCTTATCTCTGGGTTCTGTGCTACAAACATGGGAACACAACAGTCAACATGTGGCTTTTCTCTGGACAATGGTTCTCTTGGGAATTACAACTACATGGCCTGTGAGCATAGAGTTTCCAGGCCAAAGGAAACTGTTAGCGTGCTCGCTTCCCAAAATAGGCTAACTTTGCCTTGCACTATTTACAAGAGACTCTTATTTCCCAGTCTTGTGAAAAACTTTCTGAAAGTTACCAGCACAGGCTGCTGCTGTAACTTATTAGATAAGAAGAAGCAAAAGATTTTTTAACTAGCGCCTCCCCTCCACTTTTCTCACAGATTGCAATGGCAAATTCCTGCAGGCTCAAGTAGTATTACAGGGAAACATATGCTATTACAAGGAAGCATATGCCAATACACTAGGTCATTATGAGTCCAAATGATACTCACTGTGCCCATAAATATTTACAGGCACAAAGAGAGAGGCCAGATTTTTACAGTCTGACCCTACAAAAATATCCAATCCTGCTCCCTCTGAAGCCAAAAGGAGTTGGTCTTTAATGGGAGAACGCCCAAAATTATGAGTTGTAGGGCGGGGCTAAAAAAGGAATGGCGCACATGGTACCTTTTATTCTAAGTTTCCAGGGAGTCGGATTCTATTAACAGCATGCCTGACATTTCATAGAGGTGGGAATTAATATTTTATTGCATATGTAAACACATTCTTAAAAGCAACTGAAATGTAAAATCTCTGGCAGTGAAAACTCAGACATGTTAAAATTCTTCAGCCAAGCATTTTTATAGTAAAACAAAACGTACTGAAATAACGTTCAGGTTGTGACTGAAGCCCACAAAAAGCTAAGCAAACCAGTTACAGCAGTCACTTGATCCACTACACATCTCACAGTGGCTGGTCTAAGAACAGTTGCTGCATCCAAGCCATGGTTGTCCTTAGGGTGCTTGGGGCAATCACCTCTCCCCGCCCCCCGTTCCCTTGGCATGGGGCCCAGGGCAATCCTCCCACTGCAGGCCCCGGCCCGCCTCACTCCTCTCCTCCTCCCTCCCCCTAGCAACGCAAGCCAGAGGATTACTGGGGAGACCTGGCCCGGGACAGCAGCAGAGGCCCATTCTCCAGCACTCCGGGAAACCTGCTCTGCTCCACACTGCTATGCTGCACAGTAAAGCCAAGCACAGCAGGCTGGAAGAAGGTGCCAGAGTGGGGTGGAACAGACTCCTGCTGCTGCAGTGAGTACAGAGTGGCCCAACCTTTGCTGTTGTCCTACACCAGGCCCCTTGGGACCTGTCCACAGGATGGTGGAGGTGGCTGCAAGGCCCCCCACAAATCGTCCCATGGACTGGACAGCTCTGATCCATGCATACAAGGACAAATTAATACTCAGTGAAACTCCACTGAGAAGTCCAAAGAGGAGATTACTGTAAAGGCAGATGGACAGACGCCTTCACTATGAATTTCCTAGCTCTTACTTATTTTGTCACCGTATTTTATGTCCTAATCCTGCAATCAGGTCCATGTATATACATCCCTGTTTACTATGTGCTTGCTTGTTGGCTTAAGTGGCGCTCTGAATGAGCATTCAGTCCATGAGCATCAGTGATCCACAAACTTTTTAAGGTCATACCCCACTTAGCCCCAGGGCTGAGGGTCACGGGTTGGTTGCGGTGGCAACACATGCACAGAGGTAAAAGGGCTGAACCTGGGACCAGGACCATAGCTGGGGCCAGGCACCAAGGGTGGAGCCAGCTTTGGAACCCCAGCTGGACCTTGACTGGGGGCTGGGGCTGGGCTGGAGCAGAGCTGGGTGCAGAGTAGGGCTGGGTGGCACTCCCCGTATTTCTGACTCAGACCTCACCACACTCCCCCAAACATTCCTCTGTGCCCCTGTTAAAGTAACGTTAAAGAATTGTTACAGATCATAGGAAACTTGTCTGTGTAGACATACTGGAACTGGATTTGGCCTATCACAAATCATTTAAAATAAACCTACAGCAGAACTCAACCAAGCTTACCTGTTTATCTATAGACCTGAACTGCCAGGACCAGGTAGTGTTGTAAAGGAAAGGTCTTAGGTCAAATCGGTTGTCTTCAGGACTGTAGTTTTCAGCATGATAGGCAGGTGTGAGGGTGGTCATTTTATGTCTGTTAATAGAGTACATCCTGAAAAAATGCTTAACCTTGGATGCCACCTGGTGTACAAAACACATAGTTTCAAGTCAACTGAAATTTCTCAGAACTGAAATACAACTGTAGATGAGCAAGTTACTCTGCAGAGAGCTAATTCACAAATCCAAATTTATATGCATTAGTTACCACTACTACTGTGTCTTACCAAAAAGGAAGCTGGCCATAATGACTAACTAAACATAGACAGCTGGGTTTGCAATGACTAGGAGACCCTCACGATGACTAGCATGCCCGGTGCATAACTTGCGGATCTATTGCGACATCTAGATAGGCTTATGTATAGTTCTGTGGAGGAACCAGTGGTTGTGGTACATACATATACCAATGACACAGAGAAGTGACATAGGGAAGTGACATAGGGAAAGTCAGGAGAGAGGTCTTGGAGGCCAAATTTAGGCTACTAGGTAAAAGATTGAAGGCCAGGACCTTCATGGTAGCATTCTCTGAAATGATTCCAGTTACATGCACAGGACAAGTTAGATAGGCAGAATTGCTGGGTCTCAATGCACGGGTGAGATGATAGGGTATAGGGAGGAGGGGTTTGAATTTATTAAGAACTGTTAAACTTTGGGGGGAAAGGGGAGCTTATACAGGAAGGATGGGCTCCCCCCTAAACCGAAATGTAACCAGATTTTGGCAATTAACATTAAAAAGCTTGAAGAGCAGTTTTTAAACTAAGGGCTGGGGGGAAGCTGACAGGTGCGGAGGAGCATGGAAGATCTCTTAATACAGATTCTCTATGTCCTAGTAAAGAGGAGAGGGTGGAATATAGTAAAATACAGATGGGATCTGAACAGAAACAGTCAAATGAAAAAGAGTCTCATTCACATCACATAATGGCAGACAACTAAAATATGACAAGTTTTTAAAAGTGTTTATATACCAATAATACATAATAAGATGGATGAACTAGAGTGCCTCGTATTACCTGAGGATATTTCTATAACAGCCATCACAGAAACGTGATGGAATGAGGATAATCAATGAAAGAGTAATACAGAGTAAAAAATATAGTGAAAGGACAAAACAAGTCATTCTGATTGGGGAGTGGCACAATATGTGAAAGAAAGTGTAGAATCAAATGAAATACAAATCTTAAATGCACCAAACCATGCCATAGGATCTCTATGGATAGTAACTCCATTCTCCAATAAGAATATAGCAATAGGAATATATTACTGACCACTTGACGATAGTGACTGTGAAATGCTCAGAGAGATTAGAGAGGCTATTAACATAAAAAAAACCAATAATAATGAGAGATTTCAACTGTCCATTGACTGGATACAGATCACTTCAGGATGGGATGCAGAGATAGTTTCTTGACACCTTCAGTGACTACTGCAACTAGGACTGGAACCCATCAGAAAAGAGACAATTCTTGATTTAGTCCCAAGTGGAGAACAGGATAGTCAAGGTGAATATAGCTGGATCGCTTGGTAATAATGACCACAATATAATTAAATTTAACATCCCTGTGGCTGACCACTTGACGATAGTGACTGTGAAATGCTCAGAGAGATTAGAGAGGCTATTAACATAAAAAAAACCAATAATAATGAGAGATTTCAACTGTCCATTGACTGGATACAGATCACTTCAGGATGGGATGCAGAGATAGTTTCTTGACACCTTCAGTGACTACTGCAACTAGGACTGGAACCCATCAGAAAAGAGACAATTCTTGATTTAGTCCCAAGTGGAGAACAGGATAGTCAAGGTGAATATAGCTGGATCGCTTGGTAATAATGACCACAATATAATTAAATTTAACATCCCTGTGGCAGGAAAATACCACCGCAGCCCAACATTGTAATATTTAACTTGAGAAAGGAGAACCATACAAAAATGAGGAAGTCAGTTAAACAGAAATTAAAAGATATATTGCCAAAAGTGACATCTCTGCAAGCTTTATAGAAACTTTTTAAAGATTCTATAACAGAGGCTCAACCAAAAACATAATAAAAGAACCAAAAAATGCCACTATGTCTAAACAACAAAGTAAAAGAAGCAGTGAGACACAAAAAGGCATTCTTTAAAAAGGGGAAGTTAAACCTAACCCTAGCGAAGAAAATAAAATGGAGCATAAACTATGGCAAATGAAGTGTAAAAATACACAAATATTCAATTACTGGGGCAACAAGGATGATTAAGGGGCTGGAGCACATGACTTAGTAGGAGAGGCTGAGGAATTTGGACTTATTTCATGTACAGAAGAGTGGGGGGAGGGAGGGGATTTGATAGCAGCTTTTAACTACCTGAAGGGGGGGGCGTTTCTAAAGAGAATGGAAAGAGGCTGTTCTCAATAGTGACGGATGACCAAACGAGGAGCAATGGTTTCAAGTTGCAGTGGGGGAGGTCTAGGTTGGCTATTAGGAAAAACTACTTTAGTATGGGAGTAATAAAACAGTGGAATGCATTACCCAAGAAGGTGCTGGAATCTCCATCCCTAGAGGTTTTTAAGTTCCAGATTGATAAAGCCCTGGTTGGGATGAGTTAGTTGGGGTTGGTCCAGCTTTGGGCAGTGAGTTGGACTTGATGACCTCCTGAGGTCTTTTCCAACCCTATGATTCTATGATTCTGTAAAGGGAAATTATGTCTAACTAATCTACTAGAATTCTCTGAAGGGGGTCAAACATGTCGACAAATGAAATCCAGTGGTTACAGTGTACTTAGATTTCCAGAAAGCCTTTGACAAGGTCCCTAATCAAAGGCTCTTAAAGTAAGCTGTCATGGGATAAGAGGGAAGATCATCTTATGGATTGGTAACTGGTTAAAAGATAGGAAATAAAGGATAGGAACAAATGGTCAGTTTTCATGATGGAGAGATGTAAACAACGGGTGCACCCCAGGGGGCTCTTCTGAGACCAGTCCTAGTCAACATTCATAAATGATCTGGAAAAAAAGGGTTCACAGGGAGATGGGAAAATCTGCAGAGGATGCAAAACTATTCAAGATAACTAAGTTCAAAGCAGACTGCAAAGAGCTACAAAAGGGCTCTCAAAACTAGGCAACTAGACAACAAACTGGCCAATGAATTTGAATGTTGACAAATGCAAAGTAATGCATATTGGAAAACATAATCCCAACTACACATATAATCATGTAGTCTAAAGTAGTGGTTGCCGTTCAAGAAGGAGATCTTGGAGTCACTGTGGATAGTTCTCTGAAAACATGCACTCAATGGCAGTGGCAATTTTTACTGCAGTGGCAGTCAAAAAGCTAGCAAAATGTTGGGGATCATAAAGAACTGGATTGGTACAAGACAGAAAATATCATATTGCCTCTATATAAATCCATTGTATACCCACATCTTGAATACTGTATGCAAAAAAACCCATCTCAAAAAAGATATATCGGAATTGATTCAGAAAAGGGCAACAAAGATTATGAGGGGTATGGATGGCTTCTCTATGAAGAGAAGTTAATAAAACTCGGACTTTTCAGTTTGGAAAAGAAATTACTAATGGGGATCTGATTGAGGTCTATAAAATATTGCCAGGTATGGAGAAAGTAGATAAGGAAGTGCTGTATATTCCTTCTCACAATACAAGAACTAAGGGTCACCAAATGAAATTAATAGGCAGCAGGTTTTAAACAAACTAAAGGACATATTTCTTCACACAATGCAAGTCAAGCCATGTAGCTCCTTGCCAGAGAATGTGAAGGCCAAGACTATGACAGGGTTCAGAAAAGAACTAGATAAATTAAAGGAAGATAGGTACATCCATGGTTATTAGCCAGGTTGGGCAGGACCGGTGTCCCTAATCTCTGTTTATGAGAAGCTGGGAATGAGCAACAGGGAACAGATCACTTGATGATTACCTGTTTTGTTCATTCCCTGTGTTGCACAAGCAGGAGTGAGCAATAAGAGCCCACAGGACAGACAAAGATTGTCAGAGTTACCTGCTGGTGGGCCACCGGATGTTTTATTTACCTGCAGGTAAGAATACTTGCAGGCTCTGTGTGCACTATGTGTGTTCACTATTCCCGGCCAATGGGAGCTGCAGGAAGTGTGTGGGAATGTCAAATTACCGCTAACGGGAGTGGCAAGCAGCCGTACCTGCGGATGCACAAGTATCCAGTAACCCTGCAGGGGCTAACGCTGGTGGACCACATCCAGCCTGTAGGCAGCTTATTGCCCATCCCTGATTCAAAGTATCAGTATGAGTAAAACAGTGCCATAGTGAAGGACACATATGTATTATTTTAGAGTAAATGGGTTTTTTAAATAAAATAATGGATAGCCCAGGGTTTGGGACACTGGTCTGAGATATGGGTGACCCAAGTTTTATTCCCTGCTCTCCCACAGACTTTCTGTGACCTTGGTCAAGTCACTTAGCTTCTCTGTGCCTTGTATTCCCATCTGTAAAATGGGTATGACAGGACTTGTCTACCACACAGAGGTCCCAGAAAACACATGCAGTTTTCATAACTTAAGAGGAACAGCTTGATCAGTCTCCTTGTATTTAAAAATACCCTACAGAGTTCTGAACACTTTAAAGGAGAAAATACCAAATTTTCAAGAGAAATCTCCTTGTGGAAACCTGCCCACCGACACTGATCATGCATGGTCCACTGTCTGTGTTGCAGTTAGCTATTCTCTGCTTCCCAAAAGACGTTCTTCTGCTAGCACAAGCTGGCACTGATTCTAGAGTAATTCTGGCCTTTTGTCTGTACTGCAGACTGTTAAAATCAACAATTAAGTATTCTGAAAGGAACTGTTTATTTTTAGATCTATATATAGAGATTAATTGAGCAGTTCCTCATAAGTTATGAAAACTACATATAAACTTTTTCCAAAACACAAACTCAGTTAATGGAGGAATTTTACAAGATTAAAAACATTTTTACCTCTCTTGGGGTACAGATATCCTTCCACATATTTATCAGTTTACAAAACATGCTGTAAGGGCCAGCCTTGGCTATCTTCCTTAGTTTGCCATAGACTGACAGCTCTGTGTAGGTCACACCCATGTCTTCCTGAAACCAGACACACAGACACACACAAAAAGGCACTGAAATGTGTAACCGATGAGTCAGAATGAATTTTTTTATAGAAGACTATAATAAATTCAGTTAATCAGAGAAATGCTAAATTCAAAATCAATCCCCATTTAAAATCTCCATTTCTGCCGCGGCACATCAGAAATTTTTATGGAAATATATTGCAGCTAGCTAGCAAAAACACTTGTTGAATAAAAAGGATTTTTCCTTCTGTGGTGCTTGATCACAGGCTTCATGCCAGCAAAATAAACCTATTTGTTGGCTTTCTGCTTGAAAAAAAGAAGCTAAATTCTCCTCTGACTTACTACCCCTTTTCCTAGAAACACACTACCATTCCCTAAAGTTTAGACCAGCCTTCACTTCAGAGGCACTCTGTAACTTTGAACAGTGCTGTATGAGAAAACACAGTTCTGGGGCAATATTTCCAAAAGTAACTAGTGACTTTGAGCTACTCAGTTTTGAGGGTCCTAACCTGAGAGGCCTTAAAGGGGACTGATTTTCAGAAAGGGCTATGCCCCACTCTGTAAAATACAGACCCCTTACAAATGTGTTGAATGGAATACCCAAAGCTCATGAAGGCACCCAAAAGCTCCAGTTACTTCTGAAACTCTTAGCCTGTATACACAAGCCTGGTAGCCAGATACCAATGTTTACAGAGCTGTTTTGTGAAATGACTATTGAGACCCTATAAAAGGAGAGAAACTTATCTCGGTCATAGTTTGGAGAGGGGTGGTGAAGGGGCAGTAGTGATGCTACTGAACAAAAATCAAGTTGTGGATAAAGCTTACCAGAGCATTTTAAAGCCCATTACCTCATCTGTTTGAGACACTTGTCCATCCACAAGGGGCTCTAACTCTGCAGTTGGTGGTGCAGACATAATGCTGTGTAGGAAAAAACATTCATTTTAACCCATCATGTTAGCTGACTGGCCTGCTAAACATCAAGTGCTTCATTTAAATCCATTTCTGGGGCACAACCTGCAAAATGATTATGGAAAGAAAACCTTTTGGGGAGCTTCAACCGTAACAGCACTGTGAAAGCTAGTAGAACAGCTCCTGACACTGACAGCATTAACACCAGACCATTTAAACAACAGTGTAAAAACTTAGGCCCTCACAGCAGCATTATCTCTAGCAGCACCTCAATGTTGTTACAACCAGCTGGTATTAATAACGTTAGAAACAAGTTGCCAAAAATAAATCTAGTGTAGATGTAGCCCTAGTGGCAAACATGTTTAAATATAGATGCTAGCATAGTTATGGCACAACTTCCTTGACAAATATTCACTGGGATTTATTTTCCAAAAATCATAATACAGTAAACTTCCGATAATCCGGCACCTTTAGGACCCAGGGGGTGCCGAATTATCAGATATGCTGGACTATCAGAAGGGGGGGCTATGAAGGGTCTGGGGTGGGGTGGGGGGATGCTACCCCAAACCCCCTCATAGCCCTCCCTTCTGATAGTCCGGCTATGCCCCAGGAGTCCCCGATTCAGCAGAGCAGCTGGGGTGCTGCTGGGTTGGTCCGGTAGCGCCGACCCTTGGTGCCGCGAGACCAACCCGTCAGCACCCCAGCTGCTCTTGGGGATGCCTGGGACAGAGCAGCTGTGGGGCCGACGGGGTGGGCCCCGGCGCGCCCCGGGTTG